ATATATTTCAGGTCCAAACACAGATGAAGCAATGCCGCATCCTCCCAGACTAATAATAGGATGTGAAACCATGTAGCCTGGCACAAACCCACCAAACAAAAAAGAACAGAAAAGTCATTCAGTCTTTAAGTGCATTCAGTTTCCACTAAATTATTGAGCAACACTCATAAGTATTCAAAACACATGACAAACACACCAGCCAGTGCCTCTCTGTGCGATGTATAAACACTCCAAATGACCCCAGAAGCTGTAGTACCCATTCATTGAGTACAGAACATATAACGTTAGAAACTAACAACCTCCACTCTCATGTGTAAGCTCCAACACCAGTGAGCAGAATGTCAATTAAGTTAGCAAAGTTAGCAAAGTTAGCTTGTGCTAGCTTGAGTTGCTCAAAAGCTTTCTGGACAAGTTGACAACAGTTTGGCGATAAAGCTCAAAAAAAGTATAGTGTCGGGTTATAAAAAACAGTAAACAGTTACGACTCACTGTGTAAGTTCACACACACCAGTGTTGATTATGTAAATTAGCTTAGCTTTTTGTGTTTTGCTAAAGTTAGCCGGCGGCTAGCTGTCCGATAATGGACACATGCTCATTAAAGTTTTGAAGCAAAGCTCCCTGGCAGTCTCGAGAGAGAAACCCGGGGACAAACCGCCGCTGGGAGGATTTACTCACCGGAGGGTCGGCCCGATACAGTTGGTGTCAGTGCTCTCGATCTCCCGCAGGATGCGTTCGTGTTCGGCGGCTGTCTCCACACTCGCCATCCTGCATGTTGCTGCTCCCCGGACGGTTCCTTGAGCTGAGCTTGTTGAGTCGAGGCGGACACTGCTGCCTGGCGGACTTGACGGGCTCCAGTGCGTCATGCAGGAGGAACCAGAGGCTTGGCTCGATTGTTTCACAGGGGCAGCCCGGGTGAGCGGAGTTTAGATAGATGGATAGATGGATCGATAGATAGATAGATCGATAGATAGATACTTTATTAAAATAACAAGAATAAAAAATATCAAATATTAAAAATGCACAATATATACAATAAAAATAACAAGAGTAAAACATATTAAATATAAAAATGCACAATATATACAATGAAATAGAATAATATTACATTTCTAAAAGTTGTTAAAAAAATTATTTATTAAAGGTTATTAAGTTCCACACAGTGACTTTAAGCCTTTCGCTCACATTGTACTATAGAGTTTGTTTTAATTGTTATTATTATATCATTTAGACGCTTTTATTTTGTAAGCAAAGTCGCATTACTTCCGGTGTCATTCCTGCAAAATCTGACTGATCCATCTCCTGTGTTTACCTGCAGTCGGAAGGGAAAAGAAGCAAGAGAAGTCCAAATGGAGGTAAAAAGATAGATTGTCGAAGGTATTGTGAAGAGATGCACTGAGCAGTGACTCTTTGTGATTGTGAATATTGGCTGACATGAAGAATCAGAGGAGGGTTTTCTTTCAGTTTAGCTGCATTACTTTGCACGCGTTGCACTCCAAAGGATCAGAGTCCATGCAGTGATAACGGAAGTGCAAGAAAAGCTGTAATTGTTAGTTTTTATACTCTGTTTTTGCAGATAAAACTTTATTGTGCAGCTTCTGTAAAGTTGGATTTTACTGTGTTTGTGTTTGTGTGTGGAATGAGGACTCGTATCACCTCTGACCTCATTATAGAAGATGTAGGTTTAACTTACACAGTGCAAAAATACTCCCGAATTTTAATTAAGTTAACATTACATTTGCGTGAAAAGTAGAAAATGTGAATAAGCATAAACGTGCTCCTTAGTACAAAACATGCTTAATATACTTTTGGCCAGTTTGAAATATCAAAATACATCATATGTATTAATTAATTTAGGTATTTATTTATATTTAGGGACAGGGAATTGATATTCAAAGGATGAAATTGAATCAACAATGGTGGAAGTGATGCTATCCTCAACACAATTGAATGCATACTGTGAACAATAGAGGTACCATTTATCAAGAGAGAAAAAAAAGATTATTAAAAATTAAAAGAAGCAATAAGGTAAACGGAAATAGCAACATTATAGATGAACATGGTAAAAGAGGGAGTACTGCCTCTCCACTTATAAGAATGAATATGATATTTACCAAAAATAATCCCAAGATTAACAGTACAATACATCATATTTTGTGAGCTTATTATAAACTTTGTACATGTATTCTTTTTTTATCTCTCTCAGCCCAAAAAGAAGTTGATAAACTCAGTGGACAGCTGTGTGGACGAGGCGCTGTGTGGCCTTGTGAGGGCCAGTGGGAGCCTGTCTCTGCTGAAGGGCCACAGAGTTGTGCTTCGGTCCGACCTGAACAACCTGAGGGGCAAAGTTGCCCTGCTGTCTGGTGGGGGGTCGGGACACGAGCCGGCACACGGGGGTAGGACTTTTTATTAAATAACAGCCCTATCCCTAGTGGCCTGTTGACATACAGTGAGAGTTGGGGGCTTTTGTTTTGAAAAACAAGCCTCATCCTGAGATTCCTGTTGAGATACATTTATGCTATGGGGCTTTTATTTTGAAGGGGTTGGGTGAAATCAGACAAAGTTATCCCATGAGAAGCTGCTGTAAAAAGGGTATTTTTTACAGTATTTGTGGTATTTACGTTAAGTTTCTCATTATTTTGACAAACTAGCTCATTGTCTTGAGCAAGTTTGTCATTTTAATGACATACAAAACCTTTTATTTTCATCACAGTGGCAGAAATTGCCTTCCATACATCTCTGTCTGTCTCCAGGTTATCTGGGTGCAGGTATGCTGTCCGCTGCTGTTGCCGGTGGAGTGTTTGCTTCTCCACCTCCTGCCAGCATCCTGGCTGCTATTCTCAGCTTGCACACTGCAGGTAATGCACAACATTGTGAATGTTAATTTAAAGAATGATTAGATTAAATGGCAATAATTGAGGTATAACAACTCTCCTCCCTCCACAGGAGCCTCCGGAGTTCTTCTCATTGTGAAGAACTACACCGGCGACCGCCTCAACTTCGGATTGGCCGCCGAGCAGGCCCGTAATCACGGCGTCGCTGTTGACATGGTGGTAGTTGCAGAGGACTGCGCCTTTGACCAACCCAGCAAGGCCGGGCGGAGAGGCTTGTGTGGCACCATCTTCATACACAAGGTAAACAACAACAACAACGTTCTTTACCTTCAAAATAATAGTCAGACAAAAAAAGTCTGAACTCAAGTGAGCTGTACAAAAGCTGCAACTTAGTAATGTCTTGCAGATCAAGTTGCAGCTACAATAATAAGGCAATGGGCCTTTTTGAATTGATGAACAGATGGTCAATCAACCGTATTTTGCCATTTTGATCTTTTTTAAACTGTTTATTGCAGTAAACATCAGCAACACGTCTTTTTCTCTCACTTTCTTCCCGTGTGGGTTAAGTTTTGTCACCTCATTGGGCCAAGCACTCCCTCAATTTATAATTCCATAAATCTGGGTAATTAGTGAAGCTCTAGACGCCGACATATCCTGATTTTGATTTCCTAGTCTGCATCAAGCTCCAAAAACACTAGATCCTACACTTCCCATCATGCAGCTGGACAACACAAACATTATTTTGTTTGTGATAAATTAAAAGTCTGGTCGCACTTTCTGTCAGCTGGCAGGCGCCTTAGCAGAAGAAGGCTTCTCATTGGACCAGATTGTTTCCAAGGTGACAGAGGTTTTGAAGGGCATCGGTGAGTCTCTCTCCCCCTACTTACTTAAAGCTTGGTAGAAATACTGTGATTCTTCTTCTGATACGTTTTGTTTGGCGTTTGTGTTCCAGGTACACTGGGGGTGAGTCTGTCGCCGTGCAGCGTTCCAGGCTGCCTGCCTTCTTTTGACCTGCCGCCAGGAGACATGGAGCTGGGACTGGGTGAAGGACGATGGGGAGAGGGAGGAGGAGATATTTACATAAATTCACATTCCTGAACTGATTAAAGTATAAGCCAGACTTTTAAAAATACAAAGATGAAAAGAAACGTCACTCCTTTGCTTCTCTGTATTACTTTGCAAACTCAGGCTACGTTTGTCCTCACTGTGAATCGCTCGCTCGGCGTTAAAACAATGCTGATGTTTTTTTCGTCTTCTTCAAGGAATCCACGGCGAACCTGGAATCAAAAGGTCAAAGGTGACTCAGCCTCAATCTGCTGTTTTCTGTGAGGCTTTTTACCCTCAACCCGCATATATTTTCACTTATTTGTCTTCTCTTATCCTGTTGAATCAGGTGGCGTCCGCAGATGAGGTGGTGAGGACCATGATAGATCACATGACCAACCCCGACAGCCAATCACATCTGCCTCTTAAATCAGGTCCTCGAAGTGTAATGTGTTAGCACTCGAATTGTATTTGATTTCAACGCAATGCATTTTTTAAATATGTGCTTCTTTCGTACAGGAGACTCTGTGATTGTGTGTGTGAACAACCTCGGAGCTCTGTCCTGTCTGGAGATTGCAGTGGTTACGAAAGCGGCCATCATCTGTCTGGGTACCACATTTAAAATGACCTACTCCCGACCTGTAGAGCAAGGCATTAACGCAACCGGCACTCTCTTAAATGGGATGCATCTCTTGAGGATGTTGTTCTGTGGTTACAGAGGGTCGCGGCGTGGTGGTGGCCAGGGTGATGTCGGGGTCGTTCATGACATCGCTGGAGATGGCGGGAGTGTCGCTGACCCTGATGAGGGCCGACCAGGAAACACTGAGGCTGTTTGGTGAGCATACACACACGTCACGCACATGTATTGCTATACTCGTGAGGACCCTAACCCTGTTCTTAAAGGGATAGTTCAACGTTTTGGAAAATTTGACCTGTCAATCACTGTGTAGCCCCGCCCTAAAACATACCCTGCTTTATGGTCTGTTTGACTCTAAATGGACCATAATTTACTAAATGAACGTCATGCTGTATTGAAGAAGACTTGAAACTAGAGATTGAGACCATAAACTCATGTTTACAATGTTTACTGAGGTAATAAATCAAGAGAGAAGTAGAGTCATTTTCTCATAGACTTCTATACAACCAGAGGAGTCGCCCCCTGGTGGACAGTAGAGAGAATGCAAGTTTAAGACACTTAAACCGCATTCGCTTCACTTGTCAGACCCGGAGCTTGCTGCCTGCTACCAGCACCTATAAAGCTCAATAATCAACATATTGTAAGTCATTTCTTTAATCAGTACATTGACTCGTATGTAAAAATGACAACTGGTGGATTTAGGGGAAACTACGTGCTAAATGTGTGCTGTAACTTAATACTAACCGTAACCCTAAAACCTAGTATTTACCGTCAAACGGCCCTTTTAAGAAGAGAAAAGATAATGTCCTCACAATGTTAAAACTCAAATGGTCCTCATAAAGATAGAAGCACACACACACACACACACACACACGTTTAACATCCTGTATCCCATACAGATGCTAAGACTTGCGCCCCCGCCTGGCCAAACCTCAGTAGTGTGTGTGTAAGCGGACGCAACTACATCACAGACCCTCAGCCCGCGAGTGCACGGCCACAAGACGACACACACTCTGACGGTTAGTATTCAGTGTGTACATGAAGTATAATTCATGTGTATTAAGTGAGGAATTTGTGTGACATGATTATGTTTCCACCATGACTCCTGAGTACGATAAACTGTCATAATACTTTTTAAAACTCAATGCCTTCATAAAACAATTATTTTAGTTTAAATCATGGTGTGATTTAAAAATGTATTCTGCAACCAAGACTCATCCTCTGAACATATTTGTTAACTTTGTATTTTTGTATTTTATTGTTCAATACCGCCATCTAGTGGCCATTAGAGAAACTGCGGCTCAATCAAGTTCAATCAAATAAATGATATATAGATGGACTGTTTTGTTGTCTCTGCCAGGGCCACTGAGTCCTGTGATGCGTAAAGCGCTAGAGAGGGTTTGTTCCACGCTGTTGGAGAAGCAGGAGGAACTCAACGCTCTGGACCGTGCTGCGGGGGACGGAGACTGTGGGAACACTCATGCACAGGCTGCTAAAGGTAGGACACAGTGATTCATATCAACAGCTGCACGGTGACATGCTGGTGCATGTGTAAAAAAAAATCAGAACAATTATCATGCAAATGCTCATTCAGCCATTCAGGAGTGGCTCCAGGATCATGTGGTCCCTGGCTGCCCCGGACAACTGCTGTCAGTCCTCGCTGGATTGGTGCAGGAGAAGATGGGCGGGTCTTCGGGAGCGGTAGGTTTCGACACACTTTGACATAAAGTGGTAGTTGACCTCTCACGCTCACACACACACACACACTCACCTTCGTGTGTCTGTCAGTTGTACAGTCTGTTCCTGACGGCAGCAGCTGGTCATGTGACTGAGGGGCAGAGCAACGCTGCAGCCTGGGCTAGTGCAATGCATGCTGGGACACAGGCCATGAGGAGGTGCGGGGCTGTGTGTGTCTTTCTTTTTGATATGCCTACATGTGTATGTGCAAAAAAAATTAAATAATAAAAAGTTGAGAAACGATCTGTATTGTGAACCGTCTTCAGGTACGGCGGTGCTGACCCTGGAGACAGAACAATGGTGAGTTATTCTCTCATTTGTCTGCTACTTCTCATGCATCTTGTCTATTTTGAAAAACATTTCCTGATTAACATATTATATGACCTGTCCTCGGCACAGAGATTATTATTAAAAAAGCCTTTTTGTCTTTATATCTCTCTAGTTGGATGCTTTGTGTCCCGCTGTGGACGAGCTGATGAAGCTGACAGCAGCACCACCTGGTGGACAGATGGCTGTACTTCAGACAGCCGTGCAGGTGCAGTAACATACGTACTGATTCTCTACATGTTGACTAGTGAGTTCATCTAGTGGCCTCATCCTTCGGCCTTCCCTGTCTCTCTGCCTAGAAAGCGGCCTCGGGGGCGGAGTCGACCCGTGACCTCACAGCGAGGGCGGGGCGAGCCAGCTACATCGCAGCCGAGCGGGTCACCCTGCCCGACCCCGGCGCCGTGGCTGTCGCCGCCATGCTGAGAGCCGTGCTGGAGGCGCTGGAGGGGCGGAAGTAGCAGGAAGAAACACTATTATGGCTCATTAACAAAGAAAAAACAGATTTTGACCTCTTTTGAAGCACATTTTCATACCATACATACAGTAAAGGAATAGAAACTGGGGAATTTGATGCTTGAAAGACAGAAAATATATAAAAACAGAGTGAAAATTATCAATACTGATATGAAGTGTTCTCTAGGATTATGAAATTGTCAAAAATGTGAGAAAAGACAGTTATGGTCCTTTTTTAATTTGTTTACAAAGCTCAGAATTACTGACAATCCAGATAAAGTTTAGCAAGACCTGAATTAATTTGTGTTATTATTGATTTTTATATATTTGATTATTTAGTTAAACGCTTGTACAGTAGCAGAAGAGTTTTGTATAAGTTTTTAAATCATGAATTTAACATTCCTTGTTACGACTAACAACTAGACATCACATAATCAACACTTGATGATTTGACACATTTTTTTTAAATAATGGTCAGAACTGAAGCGTGAGGAGCAAACTGATCTCTGTCTGTAAAATAGTCTGTGTTTATTTATTAATAATAATACTAATACATTCTGATTCTTCATTTGTTTTTAACTCTTTCATGTCAGAACAAATGCTGTGCATGAATTAAATGCACTTTCTTGATACAACACAAATAAACTGTACATATGATGTAGTACATGATGAAGTGTGTGTTTTTACAGAACAGCAGACACACACACACACATGCATGCGTGTGTTTGGTTAGAATTAAAGCGTCCGTAGATACAAATCTTTTTCTTCTCTCTTTCAACTCTTCTTCTCTTCCTTTTTTATCTTTCGTTTCTCTCTCTCTCGACCAGCAACCAAGTGTCAACTTCCTGACACACAAGTCTCACCGCACGGCGTAGCTCTTTAGACTTTGAACACGCCCCTACACACACACAGGTTCATATTATTAACCTGCTGCGTTACAAACGCTGGCTTTCAGTTTCAGCAACGGCAAAGGTAATTATGTTCTTCTTGTAATGTGTGTTTGTATTGCCAGTGAGAGGATGAAAGTTAAGGGTCCCAACTGCCATGCTGGGTTTGAGGAAAGTCAGTTGAGCTTTCACTTTTGTAAGACTCAATAATTTAATGTGTGTGTGACAACAGATGGGACGTTTATCAGAACTGTTGAGCGTGTGACATCCCCCTGCCGTTCTAGAAATCACTGATCAGTTGGTTTACAGCACAGTGTAAGTGCTTGAGTGTAGTGGATTCGTGCACTTGTTTTAAGATGGACAGCGTATGAATATATGCTGTTTTTAAGCGACTTTAAACAAATGTTAAGAAAAGTGCATTGAGCCAAAGTTATCTGCTTTCTTTGATGAGAAGATTGATGCCACTCTCGTGTCTGTGTGGTAAACATGAAGCAACAACCAGTCATTTATATATTTCTTTACCTGCATTGGCCTTAATACTCCTTCATAGTTACGCTGGTGTCTGAAAACAATAGTGTTAACTCACTTACATTAAAACAATTATATTTTGTATTTCTTCTGAAATGATGTTTAAATATGCAAATGAGTCATTATCTAATAGTAACTTTTGATTAATTTAGGAGAAATCTACAGATGCAAATAGACAAAGTAGTAGAATAAACACCTAAATGTGTATTTTGGATGTTTTCCTTCCGCTAGTCTGACAGAAGACGTGTTGACCACTGCATGGAAGAAATATGGGTTTTTTGTAACATAACTGGAACCTCATGCACTCAAATGTTGGTATCATTCATAAACGTAAACTGATCCGGAGACACAATGAATAGTGTGCTGCAGCTCTTTTTTTTCGATTTTAACACTTTGTTTATTAGATTTTTAAGAAACAATATTAACAATACATTTCTATGTCTGTATGTGAACCACCAGAAGACATACAATTGTGAAAAAATCTATATATATACAACCAATTAAAAGATGATAAAATATATAAAATAAAATAAATAAATATTTTTCAACAGCTACTAATCACCAATGTTTAATTTTAACCCACCAAACAGTGAGCATAGAGTACAAGGCTTCCATCCTGCTCCTAACACAAGAGCATATGAATCATCTCTTTACGTTCCATAAAAACACCCCGTACTTAGTTTTTTGTTTCTAAGGATATACTTGCACACATTTCAATACTGCAGCTCTTTTAGTGTGAAATACACATACAGGTTTCTAGGATTTGAGGACATTTGGGGCTTAACTCGGACCAATGTCGCAGCTTTTTTTTATACATAACAAGCTCTATTAGTTTGTTTTCTATGCATTCTGGCACCTTATTAATATTTAAAACGAAAACATTCCATCGTGAATCAACTTATTTTCATTGTGAGTTAGAACACCGGTGCAGTAAATGAAGTATCACTGCACTATATTAAACTGTTGTACTACATTATATACAGTACACATACCCTGTGTGCTTATGTTTAACCCTTACCCGGCTATTTCTCCCCATGTTGTTCCCTTTTCCGTCACAGTTGTTCAAACAGGAAATGTTTGCTTTCATGGTTTTACTCAGCCACCTGTTAACTAGAACAATAACCAAATCAAGGCGGTAACAGCGTATGATCCACGATGCCAGGAAGCTGATCTGCTGTTGCCTTATTGCTGATCTGTCAGATTTCTGCATCCTACACTCACGCTTCTCTCTTTCTCGAAGCTCACGCTAACCCGACCGCACGTTGAGTTCATAGGAAAGTCTTTTGAATGACTCATTAATATCAACTTTCTGTGCCTTTATGCGTCTCAGATGGAGTTTGCCTGCAGTCATGTTGTGTGTAATTGGAGGCCTGGTGGAGCAGGTGAGTGCTGAGAAATCCACTTTTTATCTGCTGTCTTTGCCCCTAAACTTTGGAATAGTTTTCCTTTATGGCTCAGAAGCATTGTGGGTGGATACGATAATTTGCTCCATTTAATTTAGTCTTAATTTCATTATTTGCTAATGAATGCTAATTTCCCAGCAGCCACAGGTGTTTCTCTTGTCAAGCAGCAGTGTGACAACAGAGTGGCCGTTAAACAACAAGAAGGTGATTCTCTCTCTTTCACACACGTTCGCACAAAAACATTCATTCGTAAAGGTCAACGTGTCTGAGCTGTTGTTTTTCTGTTCATCTCATTCTCAAGAGTATTGCAGGGAAATAACAGGAAAGCATGTTCAGCAGTAACGTCTAACTGTGTGTGTGTGTGTGTGTGTGTGTGGGCAAGCTTGCAAGAGAGAGAGAAGCGTAGGAGATGTGCTGATAGCAATTCAACGAGGGAAAGTCCACAAAATTCCCTTTTAAGTATTAAAAAGTGTGACAGTAATGTAGAAAAATTCATGTATTCTGCATATTTGAGTGATTCTCACCATCAAAATGAGGCCCTTTCACCACGTAGTGTAGGCGATGAAATGTGTTAACAACAGCGGTGGAAGAAGTACATAGATCTTTACTTGGGTAAGAATAGAAGCACCTCTAGTACGTATCAGTGTCAGTATCAGTATCAGTACAGAAGTACTATCAGCAAAATCAAGTACTCGTTATGCAGAATGGCTCCTTTCAAAGTATTAGTATTATAGAATATTCTAATATTCAGTTTTAAAGGGGACATATCATGGAAAAACTTGCTAACATACTTTTGGGTATCTGGAGTTGTGAAATAAGACAACCTAGTCGGAAAACATGTGATTCAACAAGCCGTTCAGGTTTTGGCTCCTCTTCTTCTGTCACATGCAGACTTATTAGAACAGGACGGGGTTCAATGAGTGGTTGATTTCATTGGTGTGGTCTTGGGGGAGCGTGGACCCTTGTTACAGGACCATCAACAGCGGTGGGATGTAACGAAGTACATTTACTCAAGTACTAGTACAAATTTGAGCATGTGTCCCCTTTAATCAAAAATGAATACACGTAAGAATGTGGAGCCGATTTAGTGTAGTTTGTGCTGCATCATATGGTATAAACCAGCCCGCTCTCACCAAATGGCGTGTGAATGACACAACAGTTTGTAAGTCATTTAGCGTGAAATAATAACGCCGTTCTTGCTTTTTGCATATACGCCTTCTCATGAGATCACGGTGTGTAAACACATACTCATACTTTACTTTGAGAATACTCAAAGTAAAGTACAACTATGCCTTCAGGTCCAGTTCCTCCACCGCTGCCTCCTCGTCGCTTCCGAAAACCTCGGCCCACATCTCTGCCTCTCCCCCCTCTTCCCTCCTCCCTGCCTCCGGTCGCGCCTCGTTCCCTCCCTCCTCCCCTCCCTCCTCCCATCCCACCCAGAGGTGAGGTCTGTTTGCTGAATCGTGAGTGTTTCAAAGTTACATTCACTGCTTGCCTTTTTCATTCCTCTGCCGTGTTTCCATCAGCGGACAAGGACAGAGGACGCCGGCTGAAAGCCAACGTCAACGTCATCTCAATAAACATTGGGAAACTGGTCGACATCGGCCAAGGTCAGAGGACACGAACACAAACACACCTGTTGCAATGTTTGTTTTCTATAACTCTTCTCTTTTGCTCTTTTTCTAACCAGCCTCAGGCCTGCAGAGTTTCCAAAGCCCAGTGATTTGTGGGAAATGTAGTGCTGCCTTGTCATGTCTGAGCTCCATACAGAGGAACGTGAGTGGAACATGATTGCACAGGTTCTTTCCTGCAGTCGTATAGTTTCTCTAAATCCAAACTTCAGTGTTGTGCATTTATTTTCTCTTCACTAACTTCTGTTTCTTTCTCTTGAAATATAATACATATCTCAAATCAGTGCACCAAAGGCAGTAAAAACAAGATGAAAGATCCGTTTCCTCCTTGTCTCCTCCCCGTCTCCTCCTCGTCTCCTCCTCCGCTTCAGGTTTGGATGTGCGAGTTCTGCGGATGCGAAAACGCCGTAAAGGACAGCGTGAAGAGAGAGTGTGTCAGCCAGCGCGCAGGCGTACACAGCAACGACCTTTACCTGCCCAATCAGAGCGACGACGACTACCAGAACTTGGAGGACACACTGGTGGTCTTCTGTGTGGACATTTCTGGCAGTATGAGTGTCACTGCAGAGGTGTGTGTGTGTGTGTGTGTGTGTGTGTGTGTGTGTGTGTGTGTGTGTGTGTGTGTGTAAAAGACATATTCAGCCCATTTACCTTAGCAAAAGTACCAATGCATTAATGTAAACATTGCTCCATTCAAAGTAAAATTCCTGCATTTAATATTTAAGTGAAAATATCTCCATAAATGTTGATGTGAAGAGACGTATCATGCAAATCCTCTTCCTAACAGGTGACATCAAGCAGTGGCTCTCCAGTTTACATATCCAGATTAGAGGTGAGATTTAAATTAGTTGTTTCTTTGCTTCACTCCTAAATCACCCCGGGACTCTCTTTACTCCTTCACTCTCTTTCTGGGTGTTTTGTTTCTCTCTCTCAGGGTATCCAGGACGCCCTCCAGAGGGCGCTGTCATCCCTGCTGCAGCAGTCCCCCCACAGGAGAGTGGCACTGGTCACCTTCAATGATGAGGTAGGAGACGTCATTTCCTCCATTTTAAAAGTTATTTAGGAAGTAAGAACAAGGGTTGAGAGAGAATCAATTCGAAATTGGCTATTGTGGTTTTATTTTGAGAATTTACTGCATCGTATAAATTTAAACTATGTATTATTTTATTAAATTAACTAAATGCTGAAAAGGCCAATAGTATCTATTCATTAATTGAATTTGTTTTTCTTATTTTTTTAGCACAATGCATCTTTTTGAAGTATAATAGCATATTTAAACACACATTTGTTGTTTCCAGGTTGTGATATATGGCGATGGTACTGGTACTCCTCTCACTCTCAGGGACTGGGCGTTGGTTGACTATGACCATATATGGCAGAAGGGTGTGGCTTATAGCATCCCACACTGTATTGCTGAGACGTACGACCAACTAGTACAGAGGGTCAAAGAGTGAGTGAATGCAGAGTTAAATACTATTTAAATTACTCTATACAGTCAAATACTTCTCTGTGGTACATAACTTGAATCTTTCTGTTTAATACTTCTGTGTATCCAGCCTCAGGGAACATGGCGCTACGTGTCTCGGTCCTGCAGCGTTAGCCTCGGTAGCGATGGCGTCGAGGTACCGTGGGTCAAAGGTGAGGCTAAAGAACTTTAAAGGAATAGTACAACATCTTGGCTTGTAAAAGTTTTGTATATTGGCAAAAAAGTGGGTAATGGAGTTTCCAATCTTCTGTGTTCCGCAGGTGATTTTGTGTACCGACGGCAGGGCCAACATTGGACTGGGTGAGATGGAGCAAACTCCCTCTCTGTCCTCCTCTCCACTCACTCCATATTTCTACAGACAACTGGCTCTTCAGGCTGTGGGGAGTGGGTGAGGATCGCCACTCTTACTGTGCAAATGAATCCCATTAAATCAAATGTTAGAATACCAATGAAATATACTCTCTTTCTTCTCCCAGAGTCATAATATCAGTAATGAGTTTTGAAGGGACAGACTGTTGCCTGGCAGACGTTGGGAGACTCTCAGACACTACTGGAGGAAGGGTGAGACATAAAGCCACATAACTGCTGGCACTGAGGAACATGTGTAATGTAAATGAATGTCCCGGGAGAAAGGTGTGGGGGGAGGGTGTTTCTTAAGCTATTCAATCATTACTGATCATCACTTCTGATGACAACAAGGAAGTTGGCATCACACTGATTCCCTCGACAAAAAGACAAAGATTTTTGGAGAATTAATGCAATCAAAAGAAGTACAAAAACTAATTATAGGCTATAAACAAACTACATCACGGTCACATGAGGGCGAGTAAACACAACAAGGAAGTTAAGGCGGACTTGTGATGGCGCTTTGTCATCTCATTTAGCCACTTGTCAGCAACCGCCTTTTAAGACATGGGTATGCTATAGTGCATAAAAATGATCTAAGTATGTGTACAAATGTTACGAATAAATAAACTTGACTTTGTTCCCTCTCCTGCACAGGTGAATATTGTAAGCATCGGTACGGTTGCAACAGAGATCCAGTCGGCCTCCGTGGACAACATACTTGCAACCGGACTCACAGCAACCGTGTTTGCTCCTGATGGAGTGTGAGTGGTGGCTGACACCAAAAAAAAAAAAAAGTGCAATCAGATCATAGTATTATTTTAATATTACTTGTAATATTGTTACTTGACTACATTTTGGATTCCGTCTTGCTTAATATGTTCCACAGTATATCAAATTGATTTATTTCTCTCAGGTTGCCAGTTTTGTAAAATGTGACTTAAGTAGTATTTGCTTTAGTTTTTTATTGGGGATTTATGTACAATGTTATAAAGTTTTTACAAGATTGAACATTTGGACAAATGTTCCTCTTGCGTAACGAGAGCAAAGTCCTCCATGTGGCCTTTGATTTAACAACACAGCAGCAACACTGTTTGCATTAGTTTCATTTGATTCGACCAACTTTCATTGATTGAAAATGCTTTCAGACGTATAATGAAAAAAATGAATATTTGTGGAACTCTGAATATTCAGTGTCTGCGTCCATTTTTTTTCTGTATACGGCGCAATATTTTTTAATGACTGATTTTGAAGTAGTCCAAAAGTATTCAGATTACATTACATTTTTTTTTATAATCCAATGCATTATATTAATAATTACAAAAAAATTGTGTTCAGTAATTTACTTAATTTCAAAGTAATCTGACCCAGCCCTACTTAAAAAATGTAGCTCATTCATGGTGATTTTTTTACTTTCTCCTCTCTTTCTCTGCAGGTATTTTCCCTATGAGGATGAAAACAATCACAAACTGGTAAGAGAAATAGGGAATGTGACCAAGGGGCTGGAGATCACCATGCAGTTTGCTGTAAAACCAGAATTCATGGAAGGTAAGACGAACATTTACCATGTTGTATTAGCTGGTTTACATGACATTGTGGGGACTCGCACCCAGTAATGTCAATGTGTGTGACAGTTTTCCTTCAGAGGGACACACTTCCATTCCAACTCCAGCTCAGCTTCAAGACCAGAGACAGAGAAAAAGTCACTCGAGTTATTACTGAACAGCGACCCATTACCACCGCCAGGTGAATACTGTAGGGTTGAATACTGAACTTGCTGTACTTGTGTGGTATTGACTTTAATGTCCATAGTATCAAAAACTGTCATAGTTAAGACCACAGTCTATGTCAGATTTTTCAGTTGTATTTACATTTTCTTTGATCAGATATTGAAGTTTGAAAAGTTTTTTTGTAAAAATCAAAGAAATGCATTGCAATTTATTGAAAATAATATAATTTTAATGATAATAAACTTTTATTTATATAGCACTTTTCCAAACAAAGTGCTTTAGAAAATAGAAATGGCAGACAACTTAAAACTATATAACTTTGAGCACAGGATCTACATATGAAAAATAGTACAGTAAGTAAAATACAAGAGAATGCCTGTGTATACAAATACAAGTGATATTTTCAGGCCTCAAACCTGTGAAAAGCACTTGTAGAAATGTGTTATTAAGAGTGTTTTTCTCGTCTCCTCCGTCTGAAGTCGTATTTGGCCCGGTAGCCTCAACATGGCGGTGCTCGGTGTTCACTGTGCTCAACTCTGTGCCAGTTTAACAATGGAGGGTCGAGTGCAGGAAGCGCAGAGGCAACTAAAAGCACAGCAAGACCTGCACAAACAAATCAGGTATGACTCTCTGGCCTCTGAAGTCCTTTTGAGCTCTGATCGGAATAGGACATTTATATTTGGTTATATATGATTTAACATGTTTGATTTACACACGTTCTGTGTATGATTATCTTTGGTTTACATCACATTGTGGGGACCTATAACCCCACCCACATTATGGGGACTCTGGCCCTGTTTTTGGGGTATCATCTCCAATGTCCACCTCACCACTTTGGATTTTGGATTTAGACTTGGTTTTAATGTTAAGATTAGACTTAGGTTTAAGCTAGGCTAAGGGTTGAGGCTCGGCGAGCAGGTCTGATGGTAAAGGGAGGTGTGTGTGTGTGTGTGCGCCCCCATAGTAAGCAGAGGCCTATCCAAGAGGAAGAGAGTATCTATGGCAACTGGATGGACACCATGACAACAATCTGTGATGACCTCACCACGGAATCCCAGGTAATGTTGCACTTAATTTATCAATGAAGCCAATTAATTAATATTTGATAATTTCATTATAAAGAGGCTCCAAAATAAAAAAGCCAGGATCTCTTACACATTGACAAGATTTCCTACGTACTGATTTGTCATCGCTTTCCCCCTGCAGACTCTCTCTGATGAAGCAGCCAAGGTAATGTACCAGATGAAGAGAGCCCGCAGTGTCAGCAGCAACAACAACACAAGTTAGATCCAGAAGAAGACAAGGAGGAAGAAGAATGTTCCCATGAATGGAATGTAAATAAATCAGTCATCCACATATATATGGAGACTTTATTTCATAGTAAGCCATGTTGGTGTATAGCTAAAGAAGTTTGTCAGAGATATAAATGACTTAAAGCAAAGATGAACACAAACAAATAAGACGGACTGTGCCAGAAAGCAAATGAATTTCTCTCATGAGAAACTAATCTGTACTATATTTATTTTGTTTTAATTTGATTTGATAAGAAATATACTTAATAAACAAGGAGCAGATATGATTGTTTCATGTCAAATAAGATCATTATTGTACTACATACTCAGTAAAAATATGCTCACCTTAAATAACCCTTCTGTATATTTGTTTGTCAAACATACATACTGACACACACACTATCAGGAATAGTTGGATAGTCGGGTGTATCTCTGAATGCGTCCATATCTAACGTTTTGATGACGTGATTTGTGGGTTTCATGGAATGCTTTTCCTTTGTGTTGTGGTGTGAGTTGTCATCGACATGCTTACGTATTATGATTTATTACATTTTAGTATTTAGGAGCATGCGTGTTATGTTTCATGCTCTTTGTTTGTTGGGTGTGTTTTATTGGCGGAGTCTGAGCCGGCACAGTGACCTAGAAAGATTACATTTCATAATGTGCATTTTGGCTGTGGCTGAAGGCTTTATTAGTAGTTAATGGCATTCAGTCATATGTCTTGTCATGCGTGTTTTCTTGAAGGATGCAAAGGATGCCCCTAGACCAACTAATGGTGTGTTCAGAGGACACTCAGAAAGTTGCAAATTTAGTTTAGCGCCACACAGTTGCTGTTAAAACAGGTTGTTCGGGAGGGACACACTGTTCTACATGCTTGGAGGTGAAGCTCAGCTCATTGTGTTACTGTCCAAGCCACAACTTTACTGTTTTGGTTCACTTTCACTGCTCTCAATGCGTCCTTTGTGCCCAAAGCTTGCAGCTGTTTTCAGAGAAATTGTTGTAAAATCCCACTGTACACTACCTGCTCAGCAGCAAACAACAGACAGACACAGTGACTGGTGAACAAAGTGGAGCATTTAGCAGTTAAAAAGACAGACATTTCACTCAGGGGTTGGTGGTGACCAAAAACAGAGCTAAAAGAGAGTGAATTTTGGACTTGCATCCAACAGGTCGGACATAAACCGAACCAAATGAATGCTAATGTTGTTCCGTAACAGCTGGATGTGTGACTAAGCCATTGACTCGCTAAGTTGTCAGTTGTTTTTGCCCCAAACTGACCAAAAACAACCCAAACATGTATTACACTTATTGCAAGTTTAACTGTACAGCCTCCATTTACTAATTCACAAAACTTCATGTACCATTCAATAAAAGCTTGATGTCATCTGAGACACTAGAGAAAACATTCCTGTCATCTGCCGATGTGTGTCAGTCAAATGTGTGATAAGTATACAGTCTTCATCCCGCAGCTGTGGTGCAACTGCTCTTTCTGTGAAACAACATAGAAGTGTCAGTGCAGAATGTACAAAAGGAAAAGCACTGATGGTACTGCTGATTAATACTCCCAGTGAAGGAAATGTACCTGAAGTTAAATATTCTATGTGAGGCACATCATCACACAGATTGAAACAGACAAGTGATAGAAATACATATACTTAAGCACTGCAGTGAAGTGCAATTATCAGGTACTTGTTCTTGAGCATTTCCTTTTTATGCTAGTATAGACTAGCATATGGTGTGCTACGTTTCAGAGAGAAATATTGTAGTAATTACTCAAATAGATTTAACTGGTTTTAGTTACGTTGCAGATTCAGATTTTGCATAAAAAAACAATGATCTCCCAACTCACCAAATATGTCAGGTTGGTAAGTGGCTCTATGCTTCAAACTATGACCCCCCCCCCTATGTACCCCACTAGCATCAGTTTCGCACATGTCTGTTTTCACTTGTTACATGCATACACTGTCTTTTCAAAACAAATGTTAATTTTCACAGGAAACAACTAAATTAGGTTTAGGCAACACAACTTCTTGGTTAGGTTTAGGAAAAGATTTTGGTCTGGATTAAAATAAGTACGTTTGTCACGTAGTTAAGTATCCTACGTTGCGTACGTGACGTCACAAAACTTAAAATAAGTGAACATTAACTTTTGGTCTCGCACGGGACACAAACAAGAGTCTCCTAGATTAAAAAAAATTGTGTTTTTGGACTCATCCATTCACCCTGACATCCTGCCAATGCGGACTTAATTGCTCTTTGTACTACGTAACATCACTTCCTCCAATATGCCTGCCATGACCACGGCCACATAGAGCGTCATAGGTTGACTTGTAGGCCACTGGCCGTATTTCTTGCCATTTTTGAAGAGTTGGGAGTGAGAACGGGCTGCTTAAATACAAGTCGATGGCACATCTGTAAATCAATTAACAAAGAGTTTTATTAAAACTATTTTTGAGATTTATTGAGTTAGAATTTTTCATATAAACTACATGATTAAGAGTTTCTTTACATGCTGATAAAATGATGCTACCTCAAATGCTATATAAATCATTTAGACTGCATGGCAGTGACAACGCTGACCTTTATCACTACTTTTCTTGCAAGGGCAATTTTGTCAACAATACAACTTTGTCAAAGCTGTTTGCATGTGCCAGATGTTGTGATGACTTAAAAGCTGAATCATATGCATGACAAATGATTCACACAATGTTTTGTTAAAAAAACAAACAGCATTGTCTTCGGGTACACGCTGTCTGAGAATTGAGCTTATCTCTCTTTGGACAGAGCGCATCATTTGCTGAAAGGAATGTGAGATGCCTGACTGGTCAAAACACACGTATGCATGGCGAAAGCAAACAGACGACTTGACAGAAAAGCACACACAAGACCGTGATTCAAAAGGAAGCTAGGATTCCCCTGATATGAAGAGCTCATTTTATTCATTACATCACCGAGCAGCGGCTACGCAGAGCTGTACACAGCGTTCGGACTGTCGTGAAGTTATTGTCATAAAGGTTAATGTCAGTAATTAACCGCAGGGTGGAGCAATTACAGGGCATTGTTGCTTTAGGGTTAGGGTTCTTGGCCTGCCAGAAATCCTGGAATGGCCGGTGGAAAGGGTGGTCAAACAAACACAGGACTTTCACCCAGGGGACCTGTGTAAGTGTCCTGTGTGACACCAAAAGTTGAGTGATTTTTACTGACAACGCTCGGTCACGTGATGCTACGCCACTGAGTAACATGTCCGCTGTGTCTGTCGTTGGGTTAAGTGACAAGCATACTTATTTAAAGCCAAACTATGATGTTTTTTCCCAATCTTGCAACCCATCAGCTATCGGTTTGAAGACAGATAAGCCCCTGAGGGCAAAGGGCTATATTTCTAGGGTTCCAGTGTTGCCGGTGGATATCCGGGCCAAGACTTTCCTTTTTCTTTTTCTGAGTTAACAACAGTAAAGTTGTGGCCCGTAAAACCAAAACAATGAGCTGAAAGATGCTAAAAAGCCTTGTAGAGCAGAGAGACAATGCAGAGTTGAACATTTGAAAATACTAATTAGATCACCTTTTAATGCACTGTTTTGTGAATAGAAAAAGAATCCAGAAATTGCGATATTGAACATTTTATTCCTCATATCAAGTCTCAAAAAAATTGTTTATGTACAAAAGTAGGTGTAGGTGGAATTGTTTTCATTGCTAAAGAAAGTATTTTTAAAGAGAAACATAAATAGGAAGGAATAGGAATAGGAATAAAAAAGGAAATAAGGTTGAGGGCAGAAACTTGTACCATAACCGGTCCTGCCACATTTACCTGCCAAACATAGACAGGTGAATGGGTGTGGTGTTATTTTCCTTTCCCTCACAGACTCACACACACATAAACACACACACCTTTTTATATGTCACAGTGTGAGAAGGAAACGCACTTTGTAAGTGATGTTGTGAGCGATCAAGATACGACCTGTACAGATCAAGAAACAACGGCCAGGACAAAAAGAGTTTCTGGAGTGTTTTGGATCTATTTTGAAATCAGACCGATCAACAGGAAAGGTATCAACCTTTACTCTTTGATTTCACGCTGAATGCTTAGAGCTCAAGAAACGGCGTTTATTCACAAGGGACGGAGACCGATCTGATCTCTTGGAAAAATAATATAAATTTCCCGTAGAATCTTTTGGAGAAAGGTGGGAAAACATAAAATCAAGAGTTTAAGAGATTAAACAGTGAGAGAAAGTGTTGTTTTTAGAACACCGTTCAAAGTAAGAGTCTGTAACAACCTACTGTGTTTACATGTGTACTTAAGTCAAATAATTTGTTCTGGAATTGAATAACATCTTGGCTGTAATTGTTGCTTGTAGTCAGTTGGCAGGAATGCACTGAGGTTTATGTTATGTGCGATGTAATCTTTTAATAGCTGGTTACTTTTTCTTTGTGATGTTTTGGCTGCAAAGCAACTTCCTTAAAGGTAATAAAGTGCAAAGCTACAAGTTGCGATGTTACAGAAGGGCTTAGAGGCAAGGTGGTTTGGGAAAGTGCTATGTGGTTTTCCTCTATCACCAGGAAACGGTTTTAGGTGCAGCAGAGGTCATGCTTGAGGCCGGTTTGTATTAAAGTCTGTCATGTTAATCTAAGACCGACATTTTGACAAAGTTAAAAAGCATGACGTCAAAATAGCTTATAACACACTTTTATGGTTATTTAATCACACCTATTGCTTATGGATTGTTCTATATTTTTGAATGCAACCTGCTTTGGTGCTTTTTGAAAAATTAACTCCAGATAGATCGATCCAGATTGGGGATGGGGGGGGGAGTTCACTCCAGCATGGCGTACTTTATGTAGGAAAAATGGTTGCTCCCCCTCCCCCGCAATCACAACAACAAGCGATCGTGAAAGCTAACAATAGCTAACGTTCGTTTAAATTATAATCATACATATCTGCAATATCGTATTGACTTTTGCTGTTACGTTTCAGACTGAGGATTAACCGCTAACGTAAGAGGTTTGTTAGCTAACTATTTAACGGAAAGCCGTACGGGGTCTAATGCTCCCCGACATATGCCAAACTAATGTGGAGACATTGCGATTAGCATTAAATTAACGACACTGCAATGTAACTTAACTAGTTGTCCTGTCTCACCAAAATAATGCTAGGTAAATGTAAAAATAAATTAACAAAGAGCTGTTGTGTGCCTGGTTGTGCTAATAACATTACCACAAAAATCCAAGTCTCTAGTTTTATATTATACACCAGTTAAAGGGGAACTCGCATAACTCAAACTCCAACCGGATTGTCAACCAACAGATCCTGGTCCCCCAAGTCAAATCGCAGTAATGTCTGGTCCACCCATTTCACAATTGATAAAAACTAACAAATGTCATACCACTAAGTCATATAATATTGATATCTGGTGGTCTATGTAAACTTGTATGGAGATTCATAGGCAATCAGGGCGAGTTTTCAACAGTATCATCGTTGGCGCTGCCTCTGTTTTGCCCACCAGCAACAACGCGTCTTCATTCTGTGAAGTCAACTTGTTTACTCCTGTTGTGTTGCTTTTTGCAGCTTGCAGACAATCCAGCAGCTGGGTTGAAGTGACCCAGCCGTTGTGTAGGTACCACGTGATAGTAGAGGAAGAGAGGAGGAGGACGGTTTTATCTGTATTGTTTCAGCCGTCACTGAGAATGAACCCAGCCACTAACCGAGCATCTGGGCCGCACAACAACTACTCAGCACCGTGGAAATAATCCAACAAAATGATCCAGCGGGCTTAAACCAGATAGATAAAACAACCCCTCGTTATTTTTGTCTGCTTTTACAATTAATTATTACTCCAACATCTTAAATGTTTTGCCTCATATGATTAAACTTAAAATAAAATGCTTCCAGTACTAAAGAAAAGTGTCGCTGGAACATTAAAACGAGTATGTGAGTGTTGTTATGTATTGAATGTGTGAAGCAGGACAGAATCTTGCCCCACTTCATTCCTAAAGTCTTTTGACCGTCCTAATCTGATTTATGACGACAGGTGATTTGTGTTTGTGTTACATAATGTCTCCATTTATCTCTCAGAATTGAGAGATAAATTTGTGTGTTTTCCTTTTAATGTAAAACACACAAATTTCTCTACATTTTAACATTGCTTTGATTGCATTGCTTGTTCCACATTACAATAGATACACTGCTTGTTATGTAACCGTTTCCACCTAAAGGATCAAACAGCTGTCACGTTACCAAAACTGTTGGACAAACAGATTGTCTGTATTTAAAGACTTACCAGTAGTGTGGCAAAAAGTGTGACGCTCGTCCCGAGGTTAATGCTCGAGACAAGTTTCACTGCAATCTGCTCGTTCTGAAGTTCGACATTTTGTCCGTCGCCATCTTGGTTTTTACAATTAATTTTCATGAAGTGAAAGCACACTGTGAAAGGGTTAAAGTTGTAAGATGAAATCACGGACAACTCCCAGACCGGACAATGCTACTAAATGAACATCATGCTGTATTGAAGAAGACTTGGAACTAAATATTGAGACCATAAACTCATGTTTACAATGTTTACTGAGGTAATAAATCAAGAGAGAAGTAGAGTCATTTTCTCATAGACTTCTATACAATCTGACTTGTTTTGTTTTGGGATGACGGTAACAAGGGGAAGCAATATCAGAGTAACATTTAAAACTCTATCAAAGATTGTTTCTTCAAAGGGCCTTTCTGAAAACCCAACTTGCTTTTGTTCTGACTTCTGTCTGACTGGTCTGTATTGATTCGACTGTATATTACCCTCTCGCTGTCCGCAGGATGTCCTTATGTGGAAGCTTTCTGTCAGACGAGCAGTTCCTGTGCTCGATCTGCCTTGATGTCTTCACCAACCCTTCGTCCACGCCGTGCGGACACAGCTTCTGCATGGCCTGCATCAGCAGATACTGGGACGGATCTAAGGTCCGTGAGTGTGTGACGCATGGAAGTCATTTAAGATATGTATGAAGGTTAAATTTATTAATCTTCCATCTGTCCTTCTGTCTTTCCTTACCCATTGTTTTCCTTACCTTCATTCCTCCTTCTGAGTTTGTACCTTCTTCTTCTTCCCTTCTTTTGTTTCGTCCGTTGTCGTTCTTGTGTGCATTGTCTTTGTGTTGCTTGTTTATTTCCTGTGTGTAGTAAGTGTGTGGTGTGAATTCATGTAACCAGAGTAGCCTCGATTTGTGCCGATCGTGTACTAGCATACATTCTGGGTCACAGCGGTCACCATCCTTTTATCTGCGATATAATTAGCCGGCGAAGAAATGACTCCTCTTTGAAGATTCTGAAAAGCCAACAGCCCACCAGTTCCTGGCTGCCATCTTTGTTTTTATTTAGAAAGAGAGGCACTTAGAAACTTGGGAAATTAAACTTGACTGGTTGACAGAGGCATCTAACTGCGAGGCAGTTATTCTAGTTTTCTGCCCTTGCTTCCATCTTTCCTTTGACTTTATTATCGTCTCTGGTTTGTTTTTTTCCTCTCCTCTCCTCTCATCCATCCATCCATCCTCTCCCAGGTTTGCCAGTGTCCTCTGTGTAAGAAGACCTTCCAGAAGCGACCAGACCTCCAGATCAACAGGACGCTGCGAGAGATTACCGATCAGTTCAGATCCATGACAGCAGGGGGGAACGAGAAGAGAGGGGGAAGAGGAGGAGGAGGAGGAGGAGGCATACCAGATGATTTAATTGATGAATTGAAGAAGAAGCTGCCTCGACCTCCGCTACAACTATCACCGACAATGCCCTGTGAGACCCAAGGTAAGACAGGTGAAGTAGGTGTTAGCCTACAAGGGTTTTAGTTCATTTTAGATGAAGAATCAGGCATTTGATGTGAAGCGAGGCTGCCTTCATGTTCTCCTCTTTGAACAAATGGTTATTTTGCCTTAAATAGTGAAATGACCATTGTGTCAAATTGCACTTCCAATATTTCCGAAAGAATATGAAGGTTAAGATTCTTAGAAAAGTAGAGGGATGTTGGAAAGATTTAACATGAGGCAAAGCAGAAGGATGAGAGGGACTGAAAACCTGCCATCGCCCCTGTTAGCAAAATGCATAATGACCGAAATGCATGCTAGTGGTTACCCAGCCATTCCCATCTCCATCGACTAGTAGCAGGGCGAATGCATGGGCAGAGGGGTTGTTAAGTTGAATATGTTAGTCTGGTCTCCCTGACTCACTGATCCTTTATCTAACTGAGGTTTGTGCTAGTTGGAATCTATGGCCGGGACCATGGCCGTGGTGTATTGATAAATACACGGCGCTGTCCGTGGTGCTGAAGTGGCAGAAAGATGTTGTAATTGACCCTTCGCTAAGTCCCGTCCCTTCGAACGCAGACTGACCAATCATAGCGTAGCATCAGCCAGCTCTTATCATTGTCTGACAATTATCCGGCAAGCGTTTCAGATTTACTTCATATTCAGGCTGGTTTTGAGGATTTTGAGCTCGTCACGGTTAAACGTTGTGTAGTAGTGATACTCGTTATCCAGAGAGGTTGGAAGGAGATGTACGTTTCTAAAATGTTACGTTTCTACGTAACCCAGAGTATGTTAGCACATCGTTAGCATTAGCATTTCTATGCTGCGCTGGTATACTAAATGTATACACTTGCTGCTTTTGCTTTTTAATGATTGTAACAGTGAATAAAGACCTGCCCGGCTTTACAGGAACAGTGTTGTTCCTTAATTTCATTGTCTTCTGTCTCGATCTCCAGGTGACGTGGTGGTTTTAGTTTTACACTTTGATCCGCAGACTTTAGGGTTTAAAAATTCATGGATCATTTATTGTCATTATGCACCACAGGGTTGCACAAAAAAATGCAGTTGTAACGCTTTTCAGGAAGTGCAGTTAGTGACAGTGTGTGCTCCATGGTAACGTAGCTCTGACAGCTTGAGGGAGTTGCCCCGGGGGCGGGGCTTAGCCAAGGGTTAATTGCACCTTTTATCCTGTCCCACCTTTCTGTAACCTTCCTGCTAAACATAGTCTGTTTGCTATGCTCACCATTTTAGTTTAGTATGTTGTGTGTTGAGTGTTTCATCCTGACTAAAGTGGTCTAATAACTGGCTGACTGACCAACATTGCAAAAGAAATTGTTAAAGTATGAAGGAAGCTCAGAAGATAAAAAGGTACACAGCTTCCTTGATTTTATCACTTAATTCCTGTATCTTCTACCATGGAAGGTGTGTCCATCCTGACGCTGCCATGCACAACCTCACTGGCTTCTTCGGTACCAAACGACAGTCCGTTCGCCGCCCTGACGAACCCCTCCAGACCTCCTCCTCCGCTGCCCCCTTACTCCAGAGGCCGAAGAAGGTTCACCATGAGTGGGGCTGCAACGAGCTCGAGGCTCCCTGTCTGTGAGATCCACCACAGAGGAATAGTGGTACGGTACCTTTACCTACATTATAAACCATCTGTCATTGATTTTCAGGCTTTCAGATAAAGTCAATTGTTGTTATCGAGGAGCAAGAAGAGAGGTCGAAAACATGCAGCGGTTTATATTTTCATGACAGATTTAAGGTTTGATGTTGCAACACTCTCTCACTGATTTCAGATTTACTGTCGGACTGATCGAGTATGTATCTGTCCTCAATGTGAGACCGAGGACCATCACGATCACGACACTGTGACTCTGGAAGCCGAGTGGATGGAAACCAAGGTGGGAAAACCAGAATCACGTTTGAAGTGAACAACACAGACTTTTGGGCGTTTACTTCTTTAGTGTCTTGATATTTTAACCCGGAGAACAATGGCTAACAAAGCACAAGCTGTTACAGAGCAGGTTTTCTTCTACCATACTCTGTTATGCCACATACAAAACACATTGTTGGAAAGCAGTATTGTGTATAGTTCTGGACTTGTTAAACATCATCAAGACGTTTTTTTCCTAATTTAATAAGACCCACTGTGAAGTCTTTGACTGAATGTTTACTCAAGTGTCAGCCAGTCAGAATTTTTTGGAAATTTGACTTCCTCAAGCCACGAGAACAGAGAATAGCGCCGCAACCGGGCTTGTTGTTGTTGTTGGTTACACAAATAACCTTAGCGCCAAGCTCTTTAGCTAGGCCTCACTGTTGCTGTATAGTTTAATACTGGAGCATCAGTTCAGAACTGCAATCAAATCCCAGATGTCTGTTTGTACTGTGCGGTTACTAAAAGTGAATCCACATCACATACCTGTTTTTATTAACTCAGCTTGCAAAATGTATTTTCTGTGTGTGTGTGTGCAGGACCAGCTGAGTGTGTCAGAGCAGGAGGTGCAGGGGATGATCAGACGGAGAATCAGGAAGATTGAGGAGATCAAACTGTCAGCGACTGAGCTGGAGGTGAAAGAAACACACACAAACACATTCCTGTAAATACCCGAGCTGTGTGGCAAAACCTGTAAATCCTCCTGTCATCCCTTTATCAGCTTTGACTTGTTTTTTTGCTAAAGTTTGGTTCCCCCCCCCACAACGTTTCAGGGTTTCATCCTACTTGTTCTGTATTCATGTAAAGATTTAAGTGTATTTCTAACTTTTCATGATTGTACATGAAGTTTTGAAGCTCCACCCAAATTCACAATGTTTTACGTAAATTACGTTTACATTTTTCAGCTTCCTAATTGATTAATTTGAGAGACTTTGTGGGCTCTATGCAGATTCATTTTTGCATTCACAACATTTGGGTATCTAAATTTTGTCTCTATTTCAACCCGTATAATCGCATGGTTCTTTTATTAAGTATATAGTTTAGTCTCAACATTGTACTATACTTGTTTTTACCCTGTATGTGAAACATATGATATTTCAGGGTGTTCCCGATCGTTTGAAGCCTAACAAAGGTGTTTGAAATCACAGACTCATTTTCTCCTCAGTTGGCGGTGGAGCGAGAGACGGCGGGCAGCGTCTGTCTGTTTTCTGAGCTGGTGTCGGCCATCGAGCGCTCCCAGGCGGAGCTGATGGAGGTGATGGAGATGAGCCAGAGGGCGGCCACGCACCAGGCCGACGCCATGGTACGACAGCTGGAGCTGGAGGTTGACGAACTGCGGCGGAGGGAAAGCGCCCTCGCCAAGCTCGCCCAATCAGATGACTACATGCACTGTGTCAAGGTTGGTGAGGATCTAATGAGGATATACTGACTCATAGCAAACCTGTGTGGGTTATTTTAAATGCTTTTGTTTGTTCCAGACGTTCCCCATCCTCTCCAGTCCTCCACCTGCCAAAGACTGGTTTGAGGTGTCGGTGAACTCTGACCTGGGAACAGGGACCATCTACAGGTCGCTGGCAGCTGTGGTGGAGAGGTTCCAGGAAGAGCTGTTGATAATCGCAGAGACAGGTGGGATGAATGCAAAACACAAGGCTTGATTCCAAAGATAAAAAAGCAATGAAGACAGTCAGGTTTTACTCTAAAGCATTGAAGTTCAGCTCCTTAATTGTTCCTCTCCAGGTTTTCCTGCCTCAGTACTGGCCCCCAGTCCGGTCCGATATCAGCCCAGTGAGTGTCCACTCCCGCTCCACCTTAAATAGCTTCAACATAAAGGCTTGTACAGTACACAAACCAGTGGATGATATTGGTCATCCACCTTAAAGCTTTTTCAAATACAAACCACTGAGTGACTCTGTCCATCCTACCTTAAGAAGTTAAACATACACAGTATTGTCCACCTTAAACAGGCTAATAATATGAATCTATACAGCGCATTGTACGTTTATTTTAACTACATTTTGTCCTGTTTTTCTGCAGGGATGAGGAGGGTTGAGGAGTATGCAGGTACAAAGCAGCATCACGGACACGTCTCGCAGACACGATTACATAAATGAAGTTTATTCACAGTTTTCTTCTTCCTTCAACACAGTGGACGTGACGCTGGACGGCCACACTGCTCATGCCAGACTGATTCTGTCGGAGGACTTGAAGAGTGTGAGACGCCTGTTAAATAGTTACGATCAAGAGTTGATTCATTTTTTTAGCATTACATTGATGAATTTCAATCCTGCAATCACAAACCCACAAGAAATGTCTTTACAATCTTGAAAATGTGTCTAAAACTGACTAAAATCTTGGTATGTTATTGATTTTTGGTTGGCTAAATTATCTATTCAGTTGCCTTTTTCCCATGTTTGCTAAAATCACTTTGGAGACTTATATTACAAGAATAATTATTTTAAAAAATGACATAGAAAACAGGCGTCTTCTGTACCAGTAATTCTGTCGTGCCTATGAAGTTGGGCATTGATAAACTTTCTGTGTTTCTGCAGGTGAGGTGTGGAGATCGACACCAGACGCTTCCCGACAACCCAGAGAGGTTTGACAGAGTCGTCTGTGTCATCGGGAGGGAGGCCATCTCCTCTGGGAGACACTACTGGGAGGTGAGAGCATTATTGGGCACAGAAAGCCTCCCCATGTGGCTGCTAGTTTTCTAGGGAAATATACTGCACATTAGCACAGAAATGCACATTTTTGGGGGGTATTTGCAGTTGTGTTTCTGTTGAAAGGCAGAGATGATATGGATTTAAGGGGAGACACTGCAGGTGAATAGGGTCAAAATGGAACTAATAGATACCACCATGTAACTTCTCCACTTGATTTCTTAAAAAAATCTTATTTTCTGGAATTTTATGTTTAAATATGTAAACTAGGTGTACACCCATGTCCTTCCAGCCTTTTATCTCTCTCTGTGTTTGGTATTAATGTCCTACTTCCTGTGATCAGGTGGAGGTGGGCGGGAAGACGGACTGGGATCTTGGAGTAGCCAGACAATCAATCAACAGGAAGGGGAAGATTGAAGTTACCCCGAGCAATGGATACTGGTTCCTCAGTCTGAGAGACAGGTGAGTTTTGTCTGTCACCAGTTTATTACCCACAACTCCACTTTCAGCAGCCTTGTTTCCAGCAAAAGAAAAGCCCCAAAAACCCTCACTGTACACTACCTGTCCAGCACCAAACAGTAGACAGACAAAGTTAGTACTTCATTTCCTTGGAGTCAGTTTATCTTAATTCAAAATAAATACATCTTGGAATAAAATCCATTAGAATATTGTAGAAAGATCGTTGGATAGATATTATACTGAAACATACGTGTCGTGAAAAATAAGGCAGTGTGTTAGAGAAAATGGTTTTAACACTCCACTTTCTCCTGCTTTTCACTTCATTTAATTGTCTTTTTCCTCGTCTTTGCTTTTCTGGTAATCGACTATCCCCAGGAAGAAGTACGCCTTTCGCAGTGAACCCTCCACAGACGTCCATCTGAACCTCCGACCACAAAGGATTGGGATATTTGTGGACTTTGAGAAAGGACAGGTGCAGTAAGAGAAACACATTTAACATCGACTTATTTTGTCTTCTGCCAAGTGAAGTGTTTTAATACTGTGTCCTCTTGGCTCTGCAGGTGTCTTTCTACAATGTTGATGCTAAAATTCACATCTACACTTTCAATGACACTTTCAGTGAATGCATCTTCCCGTTCTTCAGCCCCTGTACTAATAAATCTGGGAAGAACGACGGGCCGCTAATTATCACTCCGGTAAACTGGACAGAGTGACAGAACAACACCTGGAAGTTCCGAGTTTCTTCTTCTTCTTTTTGCTTTTAGTTGCACCGCAAAACTGTTCAAATTTTTTGGATATAAATACTCTTAAAATGTTCTCTTGTTGTCCGACTGTGAATAGTTTATAAATACAGGTGAGACATTTGTATTTTAATTGATTTGCTTATCATGTATTAAAAACAATGGTATTATTCTAGCAGTGACTGTGTTCATTATTTCTATATTCAGCTTCAGAGGAAACTGTGACGGATATTTTTGACTATTTAAAGACATTTTAAAGCCTAAACTGTTCATTGATTCATCAGAAAAGAAGCAGGAGTTGCCCAATAAGATTTTACAGATACTAGATTAATACTATATATATATATATATATATAGACTCCTATCTCATATTCATGGACTACTTTATTGACTTTGTAATGTTCCGTAGTACATGCATTAGAAAGAAAAGGTTAAATTTCCTGTAACGGTGAGTATAAAGTTTAAAGCTTACTTCATACTCGCCGTACTCCCACTATTCTCGGGAGTTGAAGGCCTGCTGCACTAAATTATCAGTGGCCTGGACGGGGCGCCTATCTAATATAATTAATAATTCCCTCTCACTAACTATTGCTTTCAGGGCCTGTGGGGACAAAAATAAACAAGGGGGTACAAACAGCATGGCAAGGCCAAGATTTAATGTCAACATATAGAAAGAGCACAGAAAACATGATATATATATATATATATATAAGAACATTGATCAATCAACAAGAACATATTTTTGTATCTATAACAACTATTTCTAATAAATCTTTATAATATAGTTTCATAACGTCATATCTTAAAATATTATGGGGAACTAATTTGGTAGAATTACAAAAAATAAATGTACCTGTAAGAACTCAAGTTCCAGGTACAATCTGTGAAAAGTTTGGATAACTTCAGATTCTACGACCAAAAATCCTTAATTTTCGTAAAACTGCTGAAGAGCATGCACACTAATCTCACTTTTTGTAGCAGAGAAGAGAGACTTGATTAGTTATATGTGCCTGAACTATACCCTGAAGCCTTTTCTATTGATTCACATTCAGAATTAAAAGTTTTTGCGGTCGATGCGCTGCTGCTCCATCTGCGACTTTGCTTTTTCTTTTTGCAGGAGAATGTGCTCCGCAAACTCCCTCACGGCCCCCATTCCCCCGGCACTGTGGCAGGTGTACTTTGCAGCATTGATGACGACCACCGGAGCGTCTCCAGGCACTGCACTTAAACCGGCCAGGTTCAGACATTCGACATCCTGTGTGTCGCTACCTGAGAGGAGGCAAGACGGAGAAATAAACATCACATGTGAATATCAACACCGATTATGAATTAAGGCTTGTTGCATGAGGATCAAAATAAATCCA